ATTAGTCTCTCCCAGTTGGCACATGCCTCCCTGCCCCTGGTCTGTCCTCCTATTGGGATGCGGGTGGGTGCACAGGGAATGGGTGCCCTCCAGTACCCTCCCGAATGGCAGATTGTTCTTTGTTGATGTATGAGGATCAGTACTGAGAGGCAGCACAGCTCCTTATACAAGGTGCCACCACATAGGAACTGCCAATAAAACAGTGAGCAAAAGGGTTCAGCATTTTTGGTAGCGTGACCTCGCTTCCATACAAGGGCACAACTAGCAGAGGATGCTATAGAAGCAGGAATCTTGGCAGATTCTCCCATACTTAACCCTAGGAGGAACCAGAGCCAGTTTAATCTCCTTACGTAGTTCCATCTGAAACCATCAATTTCACCATGATCTGGGATTCAATTTCACCTCCCAAAACACACAGTCTTTACAATTTACAGTGTATCCTGTGAAACGCTTTGAGATGTCACAACGACGTGATAAGGCAACTGTATTAAATGCAAGGATTATTACATATGTGCACGCGCATTTTATATTTTATACACAGGTAGAAAAACCTTTAAAAAGCACCTTTCTAGAAATTCTAGAAGACGTGATAAGGGGCTATATCAAATGCAAGGATTACTTTTATTACTGTTATTATGCCAGGGCAGTGTACAATTGGGTTCAGCCATCAACAGAACACAAATAAAGCTCCCTTGGCAACAGAACGTGACTTTCTTGCTCTCCTGGATAATAAAACAGGGTTTGCCAGCAAGACAGGGAGCAAAACAGTTTAATGCATTTAATCTTCGTGACATTTCCCATGTACCACAATAAACTTCTTCATAACATGAGATGCAAAGCTGGTTATTTTTTCTATGGGATTATATCCTGAAGCCAGTGAAACTATGATACAGTTTCCATAGATACACTAACAAACAAATCTGATAGAACTCAATGGATTTCCTTTCAAATAATTACATAGGTGTGATATCTGAAAAGTAAACTTCAAGAACATTCACTAATTCCTCAACCAATCACCTCCCGGTGGAACCTGGGAGTCCCAGGCAGTGTCAATGGCTGTGGCTTCCTCCCAATATCCAATACCCAGATAACATTGATCATTCAAGCTTTGCGGGATGTCACTGCGCAAATTGGCTGCTGCGTTTACTCACAAAATACACAGTCACTACACTTTACAGTATATCCTGTGAAGTGTTTTGAAACGTCTTGACTATGTGATAAGGCACTAAATAAAATACAAGGATTATTTGAGGCACTAATTTCCTTTAGATACAGACCAGTTCTTTACATTCAAGAAGGTGAATAACCAGCAATGGCCACTCTAACTAAAGTCTAATCAGTTTCTGGCTTTTGCTACAGGACACAAGAATCCAAATTCTATTCAGTTCCAAAAACAACATAAACTCTCAGTTCTGATGAAAGTTCTGTTCAAAAACGTTAACTCATTCTCCTCTCCATAGATGCTGCCTGACCTGCTGAGAGTTCCCAGCGACTTCTATTTTTATTTTAAACTCTCCAAAGGCTTGTGTGAATTTTTCAATGGCTGTTGCACATACGCATACACAAATAATCCCAAAAAGCAGTGCTGCATTAATTTGTATTGATTATACAACAGCTTAATATGTATGTAATGTGAAACACAGTTTTTCCAATGGCTCCAACCCAAACATGACAAAAGCTGGAGTATGAGGAATTCATTCCTATAATGTAGCTGATGCACAGTGTATATGGCAAACAACTATACACGAGAAGTGGCTGAAGTAGTCAAATTAAAAGATTTAGGAGACTGCTAGGAAGTGGATAATAAACATAATAGATAGAAGATAAGGGCAAATACACCTGGCTGAATGAAACGCACAAATATGGAAGTATATCTGATGCAGGAATGGAATATAGAATTTGTTAAACAAAATTAAATCATCCAATTAAAAGACAAACCCAGACCTTTTGTGTAAGATAATCAAACAATGTGCAGCCGGCGGAGGAAACTGCAGGGCTATTGTTTATAAAGATTATCCTGGAAATGCTGCAGTAAGAGGAGAGCCAAGCTCTGCACTGTTAACAATCTCAGGTGCGTCACTGTGTTATGACAGTAAGCAAACTGGCCGTTTCCCAAAGGGCAGAGACAGCAAAGACAGTGATACACAGACCAGAAAATACATTCGATATCCAAAATGTATTCAAATTTACTCTCTTTTTTAAAAAAAATCAAAACCCACACAATACTGTGCTTTTCCCCCCACCCCTGAGAGGACTAAATAGTTCCATCGGAAACCCAAAAAAAGGAACGGAAATTGAGCTGTTATTTATAGGAAAAGATTAATTGCAACCTTCTCAGCTTCGTTGAACTGTCAAAAGATATTTAACAAGAGATTCAATGAAATGTTGATTACAGCCCAGGTCTTTGGTTTGCAATTAACTGATAGATGCTTTTTCTATTAAATTGGGAGCATAATGTCTTGAGTCTTTAATCATGTAATTATCTTTATTGTCCCTGTAAACGTTAGGCAATGATGTTCATTTCATTTTATTTCAGATTCTGGATGTGATTAATGTGCTTAAAGCTAAAAGGCAAAAAAAGAAATAGCTTGCTGACAATTTTGCAGTTTCAGTCGGAAAATACTGCAAAGAAACAAAAACTCTCCCACCATTCAGCTGCTTTCTCCACATCTCTTCTTCACTGCGCAGGTCTGTGGTTATATAATTTCTATGGAAGGGGATTGGCAGTGCGAAGGTGTTCCAATGTTCCCTTGTGAGCAGGTCTATAAATAGGTTAGTGTAGGGCATATGTGCATGTGCATATGGTGGGGGGGGTAATAATAATAATCCTTGCATTTGATATAGTGCTTTTCACGTCTTCTAGACATCTTAAAGCTCTTCACAGAATATGCTGTAAAGTGAATTGACTGTATATTTGTGGGTAAAACGCAGCAGCCAATTGCGCACAGCAATGTCCCACAATCAGTCGTGGACTGAAAATGACCAATTTATTATTGTTTTTGGTTTTGGAGGGATTATTATTAGGCTCTGTGTGGAGTAAGGAAACTTGCCCAAGGTTTCCCCCTGCCTGGAATTGAACCCAGGTGTCTAGCTTGCAAGACGAGTGCTCTAACCACTGAGCTACAGGACTCCACAAGATAGGTAGATAGGTAATAAATTGGCTGCCAAATTCCGCTACAAAATACGCAGTCACTACACCTTACAGTAAATCAATGGTTGAAGATCATCTGAAATAAACCGTTGCACAGGTGACAGCCTCACATGTCGAGAACATTAAAAGCCAAACTGTATTCATTTTCTTCCTCTTTCACTCTCAGCCCCACATGGAGACCAAAACATTCCGGCTTCCGAGCTATTGATCACTATGTGGAGTTTTCCACAACGCGGTACTATTCTTGGCCGAGTGTTGATACCATCCCATGTGGGGGGGGCGAGGGGTTTGGTGGGGGAGGCAGAGGCCAGTTCAATACTGCCCATCTCTGTAATGTTATCAGTGTTATCAGATAACTTTCATATTAATTGGAAGTATGGATAGTGGAGGTGGTTCAGAGTTGAATATTGATCACAGTGACACTCAAGCCACATAACAGATAAGAGGCAAATTCCGATTCAGTTACAGTTAAGTTGTTCTAGAATAATGGTGCAAGCAGCAGCTGTGGTTGGGGGGGCGGTAACCAGAGGACACAGATTTAAAATAATTGGCAAAACAACCAGAACGTTTTTTTACCCAGAGTTGTTACGTCTAGAATTCACTGCCTGAAAGGGTGGTGAAAACATTTGATATTAGCTTTCAAAAGGGAATTGGATAGGTACTTATACAGCTATTTGTGAGAGGCCCTTTAAAGCGATTTTCTGTCTAGCAACTTCCACTCGATAACAATAAAGTTTTTTTTTGTTATTTTAAAAAAAACAGCATTGTACAAAACACACTTAAACCAAAATCAATAATTAATATCAGCAAAATGTCCCAGGAGCAATAGTTGGGAATTGGCCAAAATGTCAGATAATGTACATTATGTAAGTTATGGGGGAGAAGTGAAGGAGTGGTACGGAACCCATCATACACTCTTTAATTAAAAAGGGCTTTAATTAATACAACTTTATATTTGTCACAAGTTTCAAAATAGGATAAATCTCTCAAAAGATTACAAAGTTACGAGAAAGGAAATCAGTTTGCAACCTGCTCCCCAAATGCTTCTACAGAGAGAATATTATGCTGAATTGCACAGCTAAATAAATAAGAGCACGGCTACGCATTTTATCTGCTGTCACGTTGCCGTGATGTGTGGCAACAGCAATCTGTCGCGCTGCTGAAACATTGTAATCTTGCTGACACGAAATGGAAAAGGAGAAGGATTTTCCCCACCACGGTAACATGCCCAGCACATCTGTGATGGAGGTGGATAAATAGCCGGGTGCTGTCATTTATTGAAACAAAATGGCTAAATCAGAAAAAACAAAAGCACACAAAGAAAATAGAGCCGGAGGATTGAACACCACAATATCCATCAGGAAACCATGCCCAGCCAAGTCCGCTATGGTAACCAGGGGCAAATGGCAATGAACAACGTTTTGACATCTTCCATGGGTATGCTTCACTGATCCATCAACAACCGTCACTGCTGTTGATGTGCCAGGATTCTGGGAGCAGGGAAGAGGTCAATCCACCGCTCAACACAAGGTCGGGATAAGACAAATATCACATCTGCATATCAATAGGTCTCGATTGTTTTTAAAAAAGCAAATAAAGCCACATGGCAATATTAAACGCTATAGCTGTGCGATGCTGTCAGGGTGCTCACACACTGAGCCGGCCAGGGTAGGCAGGTTCCCATCTATATCTCCCACCTGATGGTCATTCGAGGGTTAAACAAAACTACCCTGGCATCTGAGAAGGGGGGAGGGGGTGGAAGTGGGGGAGGGGAACAAAGACCTGAAGGACAACATGACTTTGCAGATGAACAAGACTAAAATGTAAAAATAGATCAATGATTGCTTACCTGCACCTCACTGCTTCTCTGTGTGATGCTCTCCTCTTTTTCCTTGATCTCTTGCTCCACTCCGCTTTTTTCTCTGAAAGACCAGCAGACAAGGCAGGTGTATTTAAGGACTTGGGACACAGTGGGGACAGCCAGCCAGCCCCCAAATCCCGATTCGCCCTTCAAATGCATCTTCACACAGCGATGTGGTACCAGACAGCCTGGCTTAGACCTCCACAGCCTCAGAACTGCGTTCTCTGTAACTATCAATGGAAAACACGATTCGGGGACGAATGAAATGCTCTAATCTCAGGAATGGGATTCGATGAAATAGAGAGAGACTCACACTCACATACAGAGTGAGAGAGACACACGCACATATATATATATATATATATATATAGACACACACACACAGTGAAAGAGAGAGACACACAAAATCAATGAGACAATTTCTCACCAGGATGTCATGGTTGCTATAGAGCCTCAGCTAATAGAAACCAGAGTTTGGGGGGAGAAGGAGGAGCTATAAAGATCATCTCACCATTAAATGCAGCGTTACCTTCACCCTTAAACAGGCAATGTTAAGCCGCCATTCAGCACAAAATTACTTGCTTTCGATAAGCACCTGAATTGTCACACAAATAGTACTTTCCTACAATAAACCCATTCATCTTATTTCCACGTAAATACCTTCAGCTCCCAATAATACAATTGCTTTATACTTAACCTGGGTTTCTAATGTACGCACACAATAGAAATCAGCGACTTTACATTAACCTTCAACACCCCATTCATTGTAGAACATTTAGAGAATATTTGGTAGTTTACCACTTTTGGCCACTGATATTTTACTCCTCCATCAACAACTGCAAGACTACATTTGTATAACGCCTTTCATGGTGAGAGGACATCCCAAGGCACTGGACAGTGACAGCATTTCAGACACAAGCTGGGGTCGGGGGGAGAAGGGAGGGAAGGGGAACAGAAGTGGCCGATGGCATGGTCGAAGAGGAGGGTTTTGAGGCGGGACTTGAAGGAGGCTAAGGAGGGGGCGAGGCGGAGTGACTGGGGGATGGAGTTCCAGAGGTTGGGGGCAGAGTGGCTGAAGACTCTCCCGTCAATGGTGGGGCGGGTGGGTCGGGGGACGTGGAGCAGCCAGAGCCAGCTGAGCAGAGGGAACGGGCGGGTTGGTAGGGGGTTAGGAGGTTGCAGAGGTAAGGTGGAGTGAGGCCATGGAGGGCTTTGTATGTGAGGACCAGGATCTTAAACTGGATCCTCTGAAGGATAGGGAGCCAATGGAGTTGGGCGAGAGTGGGGGAGATGGGGTCACGGAGTTTGGTGGGGGAGAGGACACGGGCTGCAGAGTTCTGGATTATCTGCAGCTGCGGAGGGAGGAGTTGGGAAGGCCGACGCGCAGGGCGTTTGCATAGTCGAGCCTGGAGGTGATGAAGGCTTCAACAAGAGTTTCAGAAGCCTGAGGGGTGAGGGAGTGATGGAGTCGTGCGATGTTACGGAGGTGAGGGAAGGCAGAGTGGGTCACGGCTTGGATGTGGAGCTTTACAAACAAACCAGGATTTGTCACATTATCTCCATGTGACAGAGACATTGATTTCAGCTACAAATACAACCTTCATTTCATTCTTTTTTAAAAGAGCAAATCTGACAATTTTAGCAACTGGCCAGGTATCTTTCTCATCTTATTCTCTTCTCTGTCTCCCCCCCCCCACACCCCTCTGCAACCTCCCCCCCCACAATCTCCCCCCACACCCCTCCCCTACAATCCCCCCCACACCCCCCCACAATCCCCCCCACACCCCTCCCCTACAATCCCCCCCCACAATCCCCCCACACCCCTCCCTACAATCCCCCCCCACAATCCCCCCCCCTACAATCTCCCCCCCCCCCCCCCCCCCCCACACCCCCCCCACACCCCCCCCCCCCCCCCCCCCCCCCACACCCCCCCCCCCCCCCCCCCCCCCCCACAATCCCCCCCCCCCCCCACAATCCCCCCTACAATCCCCCCCCACACACACAGAGCTCACCGGGTAGTGGATGGCGAGCGATGCCGCGGAGACTTTAAACAGTCTCTGACAACTCGCATCATCTCTGCAGCACATCCCGGACCCGAGTCCAACACATCACCAGCAGCACAGCCCCCAACACAGCCCTCCTGTCCCCCCACCACCCACCAGAGGGTCTCCCAATCTAACCCTTCATTCCTCCTGGTCCTGTGTGTGGAGATCTCGGGCTTCACCTCTACACAATCTGTTCAGACATCAGGAAACAGTAAGTCACATGGAAACACCGGCCCTGGAGCCTCAGCACTGGGTTTAGTCATTCAATTCACTTACTCGTGATTCGTCTTTGGGGGGTGTGGGGGTGTTCTCTCTGATGGTCCCACAGGATGTGTGGCTTTCAAGGTAAAGATGTGAAGCGCTTTGGGATATCTCGACAACGTGATAAAGCGCTATATCAAAGGCTCAGCTTTTTTTGTTATTAAGATGTGAATTTATATACATGTATGTGTGTTTGTGTATATTGTATAATATATATTCCAGGCAATGAGATATATAAAATACACACACAATAAGATCAGCTGAAGGAGGCTGCACATCAAAAACAACCGCCCACTAAACCCCTTCTTATTTTCAGACAGGAAGTGAAACTCTCAATCCCCTCCTCCAAAGCACAGGTGTTTAAAGCAGATCTCAACCCCCTCCTGAAACAGACCATAACACAGTCACTAAATGTACAGGACAACAACAACTTGCACCTGTATAACGCTGTCCGTGCGGGGTAACTTGCACCTGTATAACGCTGTCCGTGCGGGGTAACTTGCACCTGTATAACGCTGTCCGTGCGGGGTAGCGTCTCAGAGTGCTTGAGGGCAACACAAAGACTCATTGCTTTGGGTAGTTATTGATCCACTGACACTCTCCCCTCAACACACACACCTGATAAAGGAACCAGTCACAATTCTAGATTAACTCTCAAATTGATTTTATCCCCTGTCTTCAGAGGACAATTTGTTTATCGATTTGTCAAATATGACTCAGTGAAATATTGATCATGTATCAAAGATCTCAGTTTACTAATTTAACCCATCCCGGCATCATTAAAACAACCAAACTTCAGCCATAATTTCACAAAGGATGTCTTTGTCACATTGTTTTAAACAGCACCTTGTTTTAAAAAAGAGTTACCCAGTTAAAGAATTTAAAAGTTACCATTAACAACAACAACAATTTGCATTTATATAGTACCTTATTGATTAAAAAAAATAAAAATCAGCACTTTGCAATAACACAGAACATATACTATTTGATACTTTATAAAATACTTTCACATCTTTTTGACGTCTCAAAGCGCTTCACAGAACACACTGTAAAGAGAATTGACTGTATATTTGTGGGCGAACGCGGCAGCCAATTGCGCACAGCAATGTCCCACAAACAGTCGTGGATTGAAAATTACCAATTTATTATTGTTTTGTTTTTTGAAGGGATTATTATTAGGCTCTGTGTGAAGTAAGGAAACTTGCCCAAAGTTTCACCCTCTGCCTGGAATTGAACCCAGGTGTCAAGCTTGCAAGACGAGCGCTCTAACCACTGAGCTACAGGACTCCACTTTGCAACTTAACAACAACAAAATTACATTTGTATAGCGCCTTTCACATCGGGAGGACATCCCAAGGCGCTCGACAGACAATGATACAGACCCAAGTTGGGATTGGGGAGGGTGGAGGGTGGGAAGCAGGGAGATCGAAGGCACAGTCGAAGAGGAGGGTTTTGAGATGGATTTTGAAGATGGCGAGGGAGGAGGCGAGATGGAGGGACTGCGGGATGGAGTTCCAGAGGGTGGGGGCAGAGTAGCAGATGCCCGCCTGCCAATGGTGGGGCAAGTGAGGTGGGGGACGTGAAGCAGACCGGAGCCTGCTGCTCAGAGGGAGCGAGCACGATGGTAGGGTTGGGAGGTCACAGAGGTAGAGGGGAACAAGACCATGGAGGGATTTGAAGGTGAGGACCAGAATCTTGAACTATATCCTCTGTGTGATGGGAAGCCAATGGAATCAGGCGAGGATGGGGGTGATGGGGTCACAGAGCCTGGTGCGGGAGAGGACACAGATTGCAGAGTTCTGGATGATCTGCAGCCTGTGGAGGGAGGAGATGGGGGCCAACAAGCAGGGAGTTTGCATAGTCAAGCCTGGATGTAATGAAAGCATGTATAAGGGTCTCGGGGGCCTGCGGTGTGAGACAGTGGTGGAGCCGAGCGATGTTGCGGAGGTGGGGGAAGGCAGAGCAGGTCATGGCACAGATATGGGGTAGAAAAGATAGTTTATGATCAAACAAGACCCCAAGATTCTGGACTGGCTTAGCAAAGTGGAGTGTGCAAACCATGGATGGTGATACTGTCAGTGCCTGAGGTGAGAAGAAGCTGACGGGAGCCAATCAGGAGAGCCTCGGTCTTGTTGACGTTCAATTGTAGAAAGTTAGCTCTCATCCAGGACTTGATGTCTAACAGACATTCTATCAGTACAGCAGTGGTCCTGGAGTCAAAGGTGGAGGCAGAGAGAGAGAGAGAGAGTTGGGTGTCATCCGCATACATATGGAAATTGACCCGATGACTGCGGATGATGTCACCAAGGGGGAGAATGTAGATATTGAGGAGGGGACCAAGGACACAGCCCTGAGTAACACCGCACAAGACAGTCCGGGGGCTAGAGGAGAGAAGAAGCCGTTTGCGGAAGTGCAGGCGGTGTGAGAGGTACGATCTGAACCAGTCAAGGACAGCGCCGCGAAGGTTGAGGTGAGAGGAGAGGCGGTGGATGAGGATAGAGTGGGTCAATGGTGTCGAAAGCAGCAGAGAGGTCAAGGAGGACGAGGAGGCAGAGGGAGCCCTGGTCACAGATGGACAGAATGTCTTTGTCACCTTGACCAGGGCTGTTTCTGTCCTGTGGGCGGCACGGAAACCTGATTGGAGGGGTTCGTGAAGGGAGTGGCGGAAGAGGAAGGAGCGAAGCTGAGAAGCAACAACTCATTCCAGGACCTTGGAGAGGAAAGGGAAGTTTGAGATGGGACGGTAGTTTGAGAATTACATTGTCAGCAATGTAAAGGGAAGTCACTGAACTTTAAAAGAAACCAGATCAACAGCATAGGAACTGCCTTTCCTCCCAGATCCTTTAATACCCTGACTTCCTAAATAATGATCTCTTCCCCTCTATCTCACTGTTCTAATCAATAGTCTGCAGTGACAGCCATCTGAGTCAGCACCTTCCAGATTCACTCAAACTCTTTTGCAGGAGACGTGCAATGTAGGGAACAAATGGATAATAATAATCCTATCTTTTTTGATAGTGCACCTTTCACCGCAAAGTGCTGCACAGCGTTGTGACTATTCTGTAGGCGAACCCCTACTACAACAACAATTTGCATTTATATAGCGTCCCCTCACGGAGGGTAGCGTTCCAGAGCCCTACTCTCTGATGGGAATACAGCTGCACTCCTACCTCACCAGGCACTTTCATTTATTATTTCTCTGTCCAAGTCCCCAAAGATACGCTACGGTCACAGAGGGAGGTTGAGACAAGACCGATAATGCAAGGATTAGTATTTATTACTCAACACTTGTTGCATAAACTGAGCGTATGTGTCTCTAGCCCTCAGTGATGACCTTTATTCCATCTTTATTTTGTAGAAGCAGCACAGCATTCAAATCAAGTGCTTATCACTATTTGCTCCATGACTAAAGAGCCTGATAATACAGCTGTTTGAACAAGCTAATCCCACAGCACCCAAATATATTCATTAAAACAATGTGAACTACATTCTCGAGTGCTATGGCCAAAAGCTATTATAGGCAAAGAAATGACTACTTGCATTAGCCTAAAATTGGATCCATTTATCAGACAATGGATACAATGGTTTTGCAGAGTCTGTTTTATTTAGCATCTAGTGTATAAAACACAAACAAATTAAAAGCTTCAAAATCAATTGACTCATTGAATCATACTCAGCATATTGCAGGACAAGCGGTTGGGAACGTACCTGGAGTTGGAGCTGGTCATTCTACTCACTGATAGCGTTTCCGGTTACTTTAACTTTGCTCCCTTATTAACTTAAATATCTTTGAAATCATTTTGTAACAGACTAGTTGAAATAGTCACTCCTTAAAAACCATCCCAGAGGCCCTCTGCCTCACCCCCTCCCTCATCTCCTTCAGGACCCATCTCAAGACTATCCTCTTTGTCTGTGCCTTTGGTCCTCCTCCAACCCCCATTCCCCTCGACTCCAACCCCCAGCTCAGGTGCAAACCCTTCACTGTCCAGTGCCTTGGGATGTCGTTCCGATGTGAAAGGTGCTGTATAAATGCAAGTTGTTTCTGTTGTTAAAATGTCTGTTTACAGCACTCTCGCTTCTAATCAGAAATTTGTAGGTTTGAGCTCCATTTAGACCAGGCTGACACACCAATTCATCTTCGGATTGAGAATAAACTTTGAGCATAATTAAAATTTGTTGGTTCAGAGCCACCATGAATCAAGTCACAAACTGGATGGAAGCCAAAAATATCTTGAGGGAATGCAGTGAGCAAAAGTGAAATAAAACAAAGTAGAACCAATGTGACCTTAACATATTTCAAGGTTGTGCACATTCGTCTTAACTAGGCTTTAACAGAGCAACAGAAACAAAAAGCAGTGAAGCAATACCAGAGATCTCGTGCTTTCTTTCAGCCCTAACCTAACCCTGATCTGATACCAGCAGATCAGTTATCAGGCACCCGCAGCCCTTCAGAGTCAAGCAATCGGCTTACAAAAAATCTCGTCCTGCATTTGCTCTGGGCCTTTCTCTAACATTCGAGGACATGTACATGCCAGAAGGAGCTCAGCAGGAGCTCAGAGCTTGGGCTGTGTGACAAATTCTCTGGCAGCACTTTCAATGGACTCCAAGTCAACACACCAACCTAGCCTTGTTAAATACATTGACATAAGATGACCCCTTGGACTTCCAGTGAAAGTGACAAAGTGACAACGACCCTCCCCTCTGTTGCTGCTGTCGCTACAGGGAGAACATGAAGCAGTCGCAACAGATCAGTGAACTGCGAGATCCACAGCTGTGACAGCACTAGCGAAAGCCACAGTAATCCCAGGGTTTCCAGCATCCATAGCACCAACACTGGCGGAGGTGAAGGTTCATTCCCCAAGTGGGTGATGAAAGTTACTCCAGTAAAATGCTGCACGATTACATATTACATCATTTGTTCTTTTAAAAATAAAATATTGTTGCAAAATAAATGTGATAATATATAATAATCCTTGCATTTGATACAGCGCCTTAGCAGGTCGTTGAGATATCTCAATTATTATGTATTATTCTTTGTTCTTTTAAAAATAAAACTTTATTGCAAAACAAATTAATGGTAATTTTTTTTATTTAAAAAAGACTTTGTTGAGGTTACCATGAGGAAAGGAAACTGTGAACATCCTGATCGGCCAACTACTGAATTACTTTCATGTCGCAGGAACATCTCTAATCCTAGATTTCTTTTTGCCAGATAATTTATCAGTTATATTTAAAGTTTTATTTAAACTTGTGTGTTTCAGGTATACAGAAGTTTAAATAAAATAAATATATGAATAAATAAAATATTTAGTCACATCTACACACTGATGTTTCAGTTGGAGCTGAAGGATGGAGTGCCATCATCAATGATATTTTTCCTTAAACCTACAACTTGATATAAATGAAGTGTGTAAGTAGGTGTTTCCCTATATCAAATGCAAGGATCATTATTATTACCCTCCAGCAGTCTCAAACTACACTGGTCTAGAAATGTGGGGTTTTACTGCATTGATGCAATGTGACAGAGCATAGGCACTAACACGCTGATCTCAGGCCAACTCCTGAGAGAGAGAGAGAGAGAGAGAGGGAAACCTGGGCAAAATTGGAAATTAGTTTGTTTTAACATAGAAAGCGGAGAAGTCACTACAGACCTGTAGCCTGCGCTGCTCTCTTGTAGACAATCAGGAGAACTGACAGGATTTGAATCCTGGGAGCATTTTGCTACAGTCAGATCCACCAGCATTATCTTATCCCATTTTAAACCAGACAACTTTATTCAACGGATACAGGATTGATAGATTCACCGATTCGGGAGGTATTTTGCACACTGCATTCCAAACAAACTGGAGACAAGCACTTTGCTTACCTGTGGAGCTCAGCAATCTCATTGTTTATACAATCGAGTTCTTTGATGGCTGAAAAGTCTGTTAGACTGTTCAAGGTTGCGCCATTCTGTGGAAAAAAAAAGTATCAAAAAGCTGTGACATGGACAGACGCCGTCTGCTTCCCAGCTCAAGGTTTTACTCTCGACTGCAGCCTAAACGTCTTCCTATACGGAGCTGCTCCTTAAATGTAGCCTTAGAGATGTTGGGAGAACAGAAAGACTTGGAGAATGTCTCACATACACAACAGGTTAGCCACACTCTCCCACACCCTCCTCCCTCCACCCTTCATCAAGTTAATGTGTTTTAATATTTGCAGAAGTTAATATCACAAAAGAAGAACAACCATTTTTACTGAATCAAAAACCCAACCAACTATGTGAAAAATAAAAATGAAATCTAGGAACTTTCAGTACCCATACTTACAAGTCGAGGAGAATTAAACAGTAAGTAGCTAACCTTGTGATAGCTAAACGAGTGTTACTTTAAGCTTCCAGTGTTATTCACACCTAATGGGCATCAAAACAGTGCAGCAAGGAAAGCTGAGTGAGAAAGGCACAGGACAGGGCCTGCTGGAAGCACAAGCAAGTCGAAAGATGGAAGAAAAGGAAAGAAACAAAGATTGGACAAGAATTAGTCAAACACTTTGGAAAAACTACAGTTTTCAGTTAATATCAGCCCACAGCAGGTCATTATTGATGCAGGATGTGATTTGCCAGCGTAAATCTCTATGCTGGGGTCCCATGTGTGGCTAGAGACTCACAACAGCTTGGTGCTAACTTTCAGTAAGTGCTCAATAAAATGAAACATAATAGAGAATGAGTGCATGCACACATACACGCAGGTGGCACGTGCAAACACACATGGCACGCACACGTGGCACGCACACTTGGCCCGTGCACACGCACACACACACGTGGCCCGCACGCGCACACACGTGTTCAGAGCTAGAGCTGTGAGAAAGAGAGTGAAGTGAATGAAGTACTTAGCCACCTGGGACGGTTACCTTTTGGGTACTGTCTGATGGAGGCATCATCTCTGCTGTGAGGACCTGAGGTGGATCAATGCCTTTTGTTAACTTCTGGTTTATTAAATGTAGTGCTAATGCAAACTGCTCCTTTGTAAGCTTCCCGCAGTCATTTGTATCACACAAAGCCCTGCCAAGACGACAAAAGTTAAGAGAGTTCAACAGCTGCAACTATTTTGCTGGGAAAAAGCCATTTCAAACTTCAGTGTGTACAATTAGTTGGTAACTTAAATTCTGAGGTGATTTTTTAAATTAACTTACTCAGATCACTTCAAAAATCACAGAGTTTGCAATTATTAAAACTTTAATTTGTTTGCTTTAATTTAACTTGTTTGTCCCTTCGCCTCACTCGCTCCCTTGTCTCCTTCAAGGCCCGTCTCAAGTCCTTCCTCTTCAACTGCACCTTTGGTCACCCTCCTACCTTCACCCTCCCTGCCCTCCACCCCTCCTGATCCCAACACCCGGCTCGGGTCCAAATCCCTGACTGTCCAGTGCCTTGGGACGTTCTCTCAATGTGAAAGACGCTGTGTAAATGTCATTTGCTGTTGTTGAAATTCAGGTGGCATTTGGGCCAAAGGAGTGAAGGTGTTGAAATCTCACCAGATGTGAGCCAGTGTGTTTGACGGCAAACCCGTGGTGAGGAAGATGTCTTTCACCTCCAACCCAGAGACATAGCCATCCTGGTCTTTGTCAGTTTTCATGAAGATTTCATCATATTTAGTTTTGTCTGCTGGTGATACAACCCATTTAACAGACTGGAAAACAACACAAGCCATTACCAAAGCTAGCACCAACCTTTTCTCAATTCACAAGATGTGGCATTTTACACAACATGCAATGGTGACCTGCTTAATACCATCATCAACCTACCATCTGGAACGGCATAAAAATTCTTGCATTTAATATAACGCTTCATCACATTGTCAAAATGTCTCAAAGCAGTTCACAGGATTTACTGTCGAGTTATAGGCAATTGATATATATATATCGCATATATAAGAAAAATGTGTGTACTGCATTCACAAAAAATTTTGTATTATTTTCCAGTTAAAATAATAATAATGCTTACATTTGATATAGAGCCTTAAAGAGAAACGTAGGATTGAATAGGACCAGAAGAAATCATTGTACCCACCATTGGGTCTGAAAATAATTGTGGTTATTCAACATAAGTCATGCCGGGATTTATAACAATTTAAAGCTCAAGTACAAGTGGATACAACACCTCCCAGGTTAAGAGATATTAAGATATTAAGAGCAGTCAGTCAGAACGGATGTGAATCTCGGAATGGGTTGAGCAGCTCCTGAGATACAAACTAATCTTGACAACAGCTCGAAATTGGTTCAGGCAACACTCGTCAATGAGACTCGGCAATCTCTGGCAGACTTGTACTAACAAGATTATACTTAAAGCAGCAAAAGAAAGATAGCATTACAAAGGAAAGAGCATCATTAATGCAGTACCTGGACTACAGGCATTTTAGCTGGTAGAATTGGCACGTGAGGCAAGTTCTGGCGGCTTTCCTTGGCAGAAGGTGACGATGGACGGCACGGCACGGGAGGGGGGACGTTGACTTTTTTCCTCTTTGAAGGTGGCACTAAGGCAGGTGCTAAGGACAATGGCACAGGTTCCTTCTCAAGAGCACGGTAAACCAAGAACATAGCCTGGGAGAGAACAAAACAAAACTAGCAATTCACAGATATCCAGAATGAAGCAAAGTGCTTTGACAAATGCATCTGAGTGAACTGAAATTCAACGGTACTATCAATCCACAAGACAATATTCAGACAATATCAATCTGCACAAATAATGTGTAACAGGGATACATTACAAACACCACAGCCTTGAGCTTCATAAACACACATCCTGATAGACTAAACATTACAATACTTGTTCTATATGTCTAATTACGAGGTTCACTTGTCCTATCAAATGAGTCCAACATTGCAGTTGGATGAGTTGTTAAGATTTCTGTTGTCGCTTCAGAGATGACAACTACTGATGCAGCGCCATTTTATCTCTTGATGATTTATTGCCCAAGTAATACAAGGTGTTGGTTTGGTTCTCATGAGTACTTTGCATCAGTTACTGAACTAGAAATTGTCAAAAGGTTTAATCTAATAACTAACATCAATGTTCTTAATTCATCAACTACATATTCATACTTGTCAAAGCTGCACCAAGCATTCGCACGCATAGCCACCAGCCGCCAACAGCCACCACCAGCCAATAACCTCCACCAGCCACCACCAGCCTACAGCCGCTGACAGCCACCACCAGACTTGCATGTTACTCTTTCGAGACTGAATTTTCTGTCAGGTTTTAAAACTTGTAAACTGTGTATTTTGGGGCGAAACGCGGCAGCCGATTGCGCACAGCACTGCCCCACAAACAGTCGTGGATTGAGTGAACAAATTATTAATTTTTTTAATTTTGAGAGATTACCAGTGTGTTTACCGCACGTTACACAGAATGTGAATAAAATCATATTAAGACAAAAGATGTGCAGGATATAACTTACAACAGCAAATTCATCTCTATCCAATAAACCATCGTGATCTGAGTCGCTGAGATCCCAGACCTGCAGGTTAAAGTGAAAAAAAAATTAATCCTTTCCATGTTATTATCCTTTGTGGATCTTAAGCTCTCTTTCTAACTTTTCCATTTCAAATATTATTGCACATGAATTTCAAACTTCAAATATTTTTAAAGTAGAAGCAGAAAAAATATAGAGAAGAGGAAAGAGAATGCAGTGAAACTCACTGCAGAGCACCTTAATTTCCAATCACATTCCCCTGCCTCATTCTGAGCAAGGACAGGCTGCTCACCCTAACTCTGTGGTCTACTGATTGGGAACTCCCTTTCACATGTATATTGGTCCAGTATTGGACTTACCCTTCCCAGAACATCCACGGGCAGCTTAGAGTTGAGAAGCACAGGTTTCACTTTGTCTCCAGAGAGAAAACCATTCACAGGATTAAGGCTGTCAAAAATGATATCGTACTTCATCTTTTCTTCCAACTGTAATCAGTGCAAAATCAACATAGACAATACAAGTTAGAGATTTCAAGTTGTCCCATTTAAAATGTAAACACCTCTAGATATTAAAACTTATTGGAAATTTTTTGTTTGTATGTTTTCCCCCCAAAAAAGCACAGTTGTTTTTCTGAATGAAGACAAAAGAAAAACAATTTAACTGCAAGGCAAGAGACAAACCTTCTCTTAAAAAAAACTGGAGCACAAGTTTTTTCAAGAATAAAATAAGGAAAGAACACAAAATGTTGGAATATAACAGTTTAATATCAATCAATAAACAAACAGTATATTCTCCAGGTTCAATCCATTGACCAACCTGAAGATATTGTCCCTTATAAACATTACTTAACCAATCTTTTAATTAAACAAAATAACTTTTTTATTAGATTGGTAAACTCCTGAAGATTAAGAAATAAAGTCCAAATTAAAAAGACAGAATTTACCTTCACGGCCCAAGGAACGTCAATAGCTGCTGCTCCACCAACGGGTAAAGGGCTGTTTGTATCATTCTGGGAAGACAATTGACAAATCGGATTAATAGCTGCAGTGAATCGCCATAAAACTCGGAGGCCATGAGGCCAGAAGGGAAATGGGAGACATCTATTGGTTGGCTCTGGGACCAAACTGAAACCATCTCTCCCTCTCCCCCCACTCCCTCCCTCTTCTCCCTCCCTCCTCCCCTCCCCCTTTTCCCCACCACCTCGCCCCCTCCCTTCTCCCTTTCTCCCCCTCTTCCCCTTTCTCCCCCCCACCTCTCTGCCCCTCTCCCCGCTGTCATTTGAACCTGCAAATAGAAAAAGAAGATCAATTCACTTACAAATGCTGGTGCCGGGACTGGGAGATTCAAACTGCTGAGCGAGACGTCAAGTCCATTTTGAGCACAGCTCACAAGCCTTAATGCAATGAAAAATTCCTAAAGAGAACAAGGAATTAAAATAATTTGGCTGTGTGTTCGGGCCAGCTGGTCGACAATCGAGAAGATTTCTAAAGTCACTGTGCGTTGTGGCTCTGCACAATAAGGAAATTGAGGTTGCAAGTTTGCTTTACAACAATTAAAGGTGAAATACCTGTTTGTTTAAAAAGCCCTTTTCTTCTGAATCAGCTAAATCCCATACCTGAAATAAAAGCATTTTGCACATTAAAAAACATGCTTTTCACTTTTCCTGCTGCCTAGTTATTCTAATCTACCACCTAGACCTCAGCATTTGCTAAAACAATATTACTTTAAAGGTTCTAAAATAAAACAAAGCTAAAATTGGATTTGAACCACAAAAAAGCTGTTAATAATTCTTGCATTTGATATAGGGCCTTACTTATTAAGTCTCAAAATGTTTCACAGCGGGCACAACAGGCAACTTACACATAGCAATATCCCACAAACAGTTATGAAGTGAATAAGAGCATTTTTTTCCTCTGGGGAACTGTTGGTCAGACAAGGGAAAACTCCTTTCTCTTTTCATACAATGATGTGAATCTTTAATGTCCATCTGATGGGATGTCGCTTTAAAGTCTTATCTCAAAGACGACACTTCGACTATGCAGCATTGAAATTAAGACGTTCTTTTTGGGGGGGATTTGGGCTGTTGGGGTAAAGGATGAGATAAACCAATGTCCCTTTTTTGTGTGTCTGGTGATTCTGGTTAATAATAAATAATCCTTGCATTTGATTAGCACTTTTCATGTCTTCTCAACGTCTCAAAGCGCTTCACAGAATAGACTGTAAAGTGAATTGAATGTATTAGTTGTGGGCGAAATGCGGCAGCCAATTGCGCACAGCAGTGTCCCACAAACAGTCGTGGCTTGAAAATGACCAATTTATTATTGTTTTGTTTTGGAGGGATTATTATTAGGCTCTGTGTGGAGTAAGGAAACTTGCCCAAGGTTTCGCCCTCTGCCTGGAATTAAACCCAGGTGTCTCGCTTGCTCTAACCCCTGAGCTACAGGACTCCACATGGTAATGGTAAAGATGCTGATACTACAGGAGCTGCCCCTCACCCTTCCCCAAGAGTCCTGGACAATTTTCTTCCCTCATCCGAAAAAACTTGGTCCGTTGGTCATTCAGTCACTCATCTCATTGCTGTTTATGGGAAATTCCAGATGCAGATTAGCCACTGTATTTGCCTTCATAAAAAAGCTACAGAGGTACAAGTAGTTTGAGATGATGTTGCAACATCACAAGGGGCCATGTGAGTTATTGTGCAACAGATAAAGTTTATTAGATAAGTACTGAAGGCAAAGGTGAACATCAGATTGCACCCAGGCTGGAGAGCCGGCCACAAACATGAGAGGAGAGGAACTCAAACCATGTGTCACTTCTGTTCACATCAGTTACTCCTGGAGCTGAAGCTAAGCTGGAGTTCATCTCCTGTTGAGATGGTCTTGTGTTGTTACCAGGAACCAAACCTCACCCACAACTGGATATGAGAGGATTGAGCTCCTGGTTACAGCTGTTGGCCGCCCTCTGCTGGTTGGGGTCGGTATTGCAGCATTTCCCACCTGAGGAGTGAGATCTGCAAACACACTGAATTCTGCCCCCCCACCCCTACAGATATCTGCCCCACCTCCCCACACACACACAGATCTACCCCCCCACCACCACCCCCACACAGAGATCTGCCCTCCCACAGAGAACGGGAGACACTGGAATTACTTGAGCCCCTGGTCACTAGGCTCAAGTTGGGCTTGCCCAGCCAGAGAGGCCATCCTGTCACCTGACCTGCTCAGGGGGGTTATGAAGACAGGGTTCAGCTCACATTGTCCTTTGACAATTTGGGGCTTAGAGAGTTTGGGGTAGGAGGGATTTTGGGTAGCGAGACAACCCTCGTTCCCCAAGAGGGACGTTTGGGGGTAATTGAGGTAGTCCTAATCGCGCTCACCAATGCAAAAAATATTTAAAATTTCACTTCTTCATTGCTGTTTTTTCATGAATCATTAGCCTTCTGTATACATTGTAAACTCCATAGTCAGGAGATGGCTTGTGTTTGTGCAAATATTTCTATGAATGCTGATTTTCAGATTTTCACCGCAGAATCAATGATAGAGGAAAATGTATTGTAAATCTGCCTTTTTTTATTTGTGAAAATTCTTTGCATTGAAGTGGGGGGGAGGCAGAGAAAAGGATGCACTTTGCTGTTCTCCAGGTTCAGCCCATTGAGATGAGCTAATTCAACAAAGATTGGGTATCAAACTTGTGACTTTCTAATCTGTTTGAAACTATTAATCTCTAATAAGCAATTGATTCCCAGAGATGGGAAGGCACGTGGATTGAAATATGGTTTCCACTTTTGAGAAAGAATCTGTAAAACTATCCATTTACTACCACAACAACCTGAATTTATATAGCGCCTTTAACACAGGGCAGCATCTCGGAGCGCTCCTACCTGCCAAACTATATCTATTGGAAAAACTACCGAATAATTGACTTGTGGCAACTGGATATAATAAATTGGTTAAGAAATTCAAGCATCAATGCTGGTACTGAGACAGACAACCATAAAATTATACAGCACAGAAGGAGGCCATTTGGCCCATCGTGTAGGTGCCGGCTCTTTAAAAAGAGCTATGACAAATACAGGGACAGAATATAAGCACACACACGCACATACATACACACACATCCATGCACACACACACTTGGACGCACACACGTGCACCGTTAGTTAAACCAGTACCTTTCCCAGGACCAGGTCTGACAGGCCGGACTTTTTTAAAAACAAAGCAGCTTCAGCAGCTCCGACTCTTCCCCCATTGCTGGGATCGATCTGCAACAAACCATAAAGAGGCAAAACTTTCTCAAGCACCTATTACTAACCACTTCAAAGATATTTCTGTTTGATTCAGATCTGCTTCACACACACACCTCACACACACACACCTCACACCCCTTGTCCAGGTGGAGAGTTACTGAAGTGACTGACCAGGATTTAAATAATAAGAAACAAGTTGCATTTATATCGCAGCCTGAAGAAGGAGAACTGATTGGAAGTCTTCACAATGATATAGTCATTGTAGTCACCCATCCAGCAGGGGACAGAAAGTAGGACTTCAAGACAGATAGGGAACTTGAGATGTAGTTGTTGCAGAGACAAGAACTCCAGAGTTATCAGTGTGGAATGTGAAAGCACTACCACCAATGGTGATGTAGAGAGGGTGGGAGACGCACAGCAATCCTGAGTTAGCTGAGTGAACAGGGAGGGCAGAGGGGTGGGGGAGGCGATAGGAGAAGAAACAAGGTATTCAACTTTTTGTGGAAAGCGAGAGAGAGAAAGAAAGCACTGGAAATTCAGCAGAGAGCAACAGAGCTGGTGTGATTTTCAACACTCGCCTTATGGTGATTATTAAATTCACCTTTTGTGCCGGTGCTAAACATTTAGGCACTTGTAGGACAGGCGAGATTTGGGTGATTATTTTTGCGGCTGAGCCTGAAGCCACACAAAAGAAGCTCCAACGATGCTCATTGTTTCAACTTATCCCCGTGTCTGACAAGGAGACTGTTCAACATCCAACTTTCTGGGGTCACAAGTCACTGCTATAAATTTAATTAAGTCTCATTCACCAGTTTGTACAATATTGATAGACAATCATAGAAGCTGAGGTGAGTCAGTCCCTCGATTCCCCCTATCTCCTCCCCCTTCTCCTCCCCGTCTCTCCTTCTCCTCCCACACTCCACCCCCCCCCCCCCCACCCTTCCCTGACACAACCCCATTTACTTGACAAGAACATGTCAAGAAATGCTGTTAAAATCTGCTTTGACAATAATAAGTCAGAATGGCAAAAAGTGGCAGAAAATAAAATCTCTGCCTGTAGCTGAGAGAGGGTAGAAGAGGAACAGAGAGTGAGAGTGTGTTTACAGCTGGTAAGAAAAATAACAAATTACAACATCTGGTGTATTCAACTAAAGATCAGCTAAAACAAGGCAATCAATAGGACATCAGTCAAGCATCCACATGTCTCATTTGCACATCAAGACGTGGAGCCCATATCTACCTTCAACTCAAAGATCTCATGGTTGACATCCCCATTGTTATGTCTGCCCAAAGAGTCTCTGTATAGATTATAATAATCCCTGCATTTAATATAGGCCCTTATCACATCTCAAACTGCTTCACAGGATACACTGTGGGCAAAATGCAGCTGTTTGCACACAGCAGTGTCCCACAAACAGCCATGGAGAGAGAGTGACTGATTTTATTTGGGGGAAAACCAGGAGAAACTTCCTTCTCTTTCGATTAACACCATGGGATCTTTAATGGCCACCTGATCAGGCAGATGGAACCTCGGTTTAATGTCTCATCCGAAGGACGGCATCTCTGACAAAGCAACACCCAACCATCCAGCGCTGCTGCATTGGAGCATCAGCTTAAACTACATGATTCTAACTCATTACGTGGGGCTTGAACCCACAACCTTCTGACTTTGAGGCAACACTGAGCCAGACTGTATTATTAGGTTCATCAGTTAATCAGTTACAGGTTTACAGTTACAGACCTCAGTTACAGGTTTATCCCTCTCACCAGATTGTGATTGTATTACAGTGGGGAGGGAGAGGAAGTCTATGTGCCTGCTAAACTTTCATAGTTAGACTTAACCTAAGGAACAGATCGAACAATGACCTACAGAGATTCTAGCAGCCCCACAAATATTTAAGGCAGTTGGATTTGTTTAAAGTTGTACAGACACAGGCTATTGCTAAACATTGACAAGACAAATGTATAAAGTTTGATTTACCTGTCGGTAATACTTTTCATATAAGGGGTTGCCACTCGAGAGCTGCAAAGAGAGAGAAGTAAATATTCTTTATTTGTTCTCAAAAACACTGCACACTATTCACCAACGAGGGAAGCTTTCATAAAATCTTAGTGGCTTGTTGTTGAACAGCATATATACATACATTGCTTGCTGGCACAAACGTTAGCATTCCTGACGCTGAATGAGACGTTATCGGCCAATAGTAAGAGGTATTCTATGGTCGGAACGCCTCATTGTTTATTTTGTTTCGCAAAAGAAGTCAAAAATAATATTTTTCACAGACATCTCTGGCAAGGATCAAGCATCGATAAGGAATCAAAACCCAAGTTGTCATTTTATCTCCATCAACAAACATTGCTTCCCCCCACAGGGAAATCATGATTGCTGGCCAGGATACTGGGAGAAACTTCCTTCTCTTTTCTAATTGTACCATGGAATCTATAACATTCACCTGAACAGGCAGACTTTAGTTTAATGTCTCAATTGCTACCTTTGATAACACAAGATCCACCCAACATCTCATTTGAGTGCCAGCCTAGATTACAAGCTCAAAGTCCTCCTGATGTGGAGTCCTGTAGCTCAGTGGTTAGAGCACTCGCTTTGCAAGTGAGAGACCTGCGTTCAATTCCAGGCAGAGGGCCAAACCTTGGGCAAGTTTCCTTACTCCACACAGAGCCTAATAATAATCCCTCCAAAAAAACCAAAAACAATAATTAAATTGGTCATTTTCAATCTACGACTGTTTGTGGGACATTGCTGTGCGCAATTGGCTGCCGCGTTCGCCCACAAATATACAATCAATTCACTTTACAGTGTGTTCTGTGAAGCGCTTTGGGACGTCCTCCCGACGTGAAAAGCGCTATATCAAATGCAAGGATTATTATTATTATTATTATTATTATTATTATTATTATTATTATTATTATGTGTGGCTTTGGTTAGTCAACTGGGTGTCTGACACATGATGAAACCCATCACTTGCTTAAGAATATCCAAACCTAACTGAGAATTCCATGCATCCCACCCACACATGGAAATCCCAGAGACAGATTGTTGGAATGGAATGTGCTCTCTCTCTGTGGAGGGATACATCCTCTTACCCAATTCCTGAAAATATTAGGTGCAGGTTGGCAAGAGCCAAGGTTTGGGGACCTCAAAATGTGCGTTGCGGTAACTGCTGGAGTCTAACCAGCTAAAACCACATAGCTTGTCATTGATATTACTGTCTGGCAAGCTTTACTGCTGCTTGTCCAGCTAGGACCACCCTAGTCATTAGACTTTGGCTTGTAGGGTTAACAAGAACCGAGTGGGATGATTCCCTGTTTCCAATGGCTGGTCTACCTTTCCAGGTCCTGCCGATGAGCCAGGCTGAGCTGTGCTGTCATCAGCAGTGCCCTGCAGTGGTTACTTGACCAAACGCCTCCATTTTATCTCGGCAAATGGTTTTGCCTCCCGCTCGGTCACCTGCGGGGTACCCCAGGGCTCCATCCTTGGCCTCTTCTCTTCCTTATCTATATGCTCCCTCTGGGCGATGTCACTTGCAGACACAGAATAAACTTCCACATGTTTGCGGATGACACACAAATCTACTTTGCTTCCAGCACCAACTCCCTATCAGCTTGTCTGGCAGCGTGCAAACTTCCTGCAACTGAATATGGACAAGACAGAAGCCATACTTCTTGGCTCACGTCAATGTCTTCATCTCTGCAGATCTAAATTCCTCAACCTCCCTGGACTCTCCCTCACATTCACTGAACCAGCGCACAACCTAGGCGTCCAGTTCGAACCCCAGCTGTTCTTCCTCCCCAGCATCCGGTCCCTGACCAGGACCACCTTCTTCCACCTCCGCCACATTGCCCGCCTCCGACCGTACCTTACCCCAAATGCAGCCCAAACCCTCGTGCATGTGTTTGTCACCTCCAACCTGGATTACTCCAACCCCCTCCTCACCGGTCTCCCTAGCTCCACTATTCACAAGATCAGCTCATTCAAAATTCTGAAAGATCCTCACTCTCGTGTTCAAATCCCTTCACTCCGTGGCCCCTCCCTCCCTTCCCCGGCTTCCTCATTCTCCAATCCACCACCTGCTCGACTGACACCGGCTCCTGCTCGTCCCTCGCACCCTCCACCCCACCATCGGAGGTTGGGCTTTCAGCCACCACGCCCCGAAACTCTGGAATACTCTCCCTCAATCCCTCCGCCTTGCCCCCTTTTCCAAATCCCGCCTGAAAACCTTCCTTTTCGACCATGCTTGCGGTCACCCCCCGCTCCCTCCCCCCGACTCGGAGTCAGTCTCCGCCACTGAGGCGCTATCCTGCGTAGAGGGCGCTATATAAGTGTTGTTGTTGGGAGTGCTGCGGACCCGCCTAGCAGTGTGGAAGGGAAGGGTCAAAATAAATGCAAATGCTTACTGAATACGCAGAGGGAATTGGATAGTTTTTTGAAAAGAAAAAAATTGCAGGGCTATAAGGTAAGCACTGGGGAAGTGGGACCAGGTGGTAGCTCTTTCAAAGAGGCAACAGAGTCGAGGGATATGTGGATTTGCTTCATTGCAAACAAGAACAGGAAGGACAGCATTCTTCTCTTTCACACCAGATAGCATACTGAACCCAGACCAACACTGCAAATGTGCTGGAGAGGAAACAGTCCAATTGATAGACACAGAACATCCTTTATATCCATGCATTCATCCATTTACTCACAGATCAAGCTTGGTAATCTTTTTTTGGGATGGGGAGTGGGGAGCGTCGAAGGCGGCGGGGGTGGGGGGAAACAGAGGGAAAGACCGGGAATAAAAGGGAGTGTGGTCCCCTCCTTTCCCCAAGTAAACAAAGCTACTAACAAACTAAAGAGCACGTCTGTGTCAGCACCGGCACATGGTCTCTGGCCAGCAAACTGCTTGTCCCGTTACGAGCGCAGATGTTTGAAGGAGGGAAGAAACCTACAAGGAACTTTTAGTTTCTTTTTCCATTTGAACTTCCAGCAGTGAATGTTTTGAAGTGTTGCCATGTGAAGGAACAGTGGGCGTCCCTGACAAGCTGCTAGTGACAAAACCCGTGGTGCAGAAGCCTGTACTTTAATGGCGTTGACAGTGAGACTGCACCCCCCCCCGGGTGTGTGTCTGTGTGCATGTGCGCCTTCGCGTGTGTGTGGGGGTGGGGTGGGGCGGGGAGACGGAAGGGCGGCGGGGAGACAGGAGTGGGGCTGCGGGGAGACAGGAGGGAAAATAAATCCATTTGTTGGTTCTCGGCAAACAAAATAAATTATTGCGTAAACTCCCAAGTTTTGCCAAAACTATAATTGCTGAAATGTTTTAATGTGCAGCTGTGTGTTATCAAGATTCAGTGCACAAAGGGCTTGACATTGCCAAATCATACTGTGACTGGAAAATATAGCATCATATCCTGAAACCCCTTTAAGTATTCACTTTGCTCGAAAATGGACTTCAGTTAAAGTTGGTCCCCAATTAAACCATTCATTAATTTCATGGCTGTTTGTGAGACACCAATGCGCCATGATCACCTACTAATAGTCACTCTTAAGTAAATCCTGCCAAGCGTTTTTAAGTTTCGACAACACAATAAGACGCTATATCAAATGCAAGAATTATCATTATTAATAATAAAATAAAGCATTTAACCTTGTTATTTTAGAAACTGGTCAATCAAGATGAATTTGGAAAACCTCAACTGTAATGAAAGTCAATCAAGTTCATCCGGACTGGGAGAGGGAGGGGATGTTCAGGGAGCAAATGCAGCCCTTGGCAATCATTTCCTGTTTGTAAGCAGCTCCCACCACTCTCTCTCCCCCCTTCTCTCTTCTCTCCACCCTCTTCCCCCACCTCCCTTCACCCCTTGTCCAGTGAAAACTGCACCCCAGAGACAGGGGGCGGGGATGGGAGGGGGCTGCGGGGAGACGGGAGGGGAGACAAGCCTCGTGGGCACACAGGGCTCGTAACCAGAAGATCCAGGGCTGAAGAGAAATGTTGGAAAACTGAATGAAAAACAGGAAATGCAAGGAAACCACAGCTTGGCACTCAGCCTCTGAACTTAAAAAGATACCTTTATCCTTCACATTTGATTTCCTGTTAAAATGTTCTGATTAAAGGACTCAACCAGAAGGATGATCAGACATTTCACAATACACTTTTGGACTTCCAGCATTTTCTCATTTTACTTCTACATATTTATAGTTGCAACATCACACAACATTTCAGATTTATACTTCATTTTGGAAACACGACGCCATCGACCTGAAACATTAACCCACTTTCCTCTCTCCATAGATGCTGCCTGACCTGCTGAGTGTTCCCAGTGACTTCTGTTTTTATTGGTATCATCATCTGCTCGGTTGGAATGAAGTGAAATGACAAAAGGTGGCTGTACTTTGGAATATACTTCAATTATAATAATGTTTAGGAAATAACATTATGGGATATAGTACACATGGAGTTTGGGACATATGTGCATGCACCACCAGGAAGGTGGAAAGTGAACTAGATGGACCATGGTTTTTTTTCGACTAGCATTTTGTATGTTCTTATGTAATAATAATAATAATGCTGCTTATGTTTAATATAGAGCTTTTCACATAGGGAGAACACCCCAAAGCACTTCACATAATACAGTGTAAAATGCAGCGAGTATTTTTTTTAGGTAAATACCAACAATACTGCTCAAAAAGGAAACTGAAGAGGAAACTGAATAATCAGATAATTATTTGGGGAGAACAAGTTTGCAGGGCTATGGGGAGAGAGCGGAGGAGTGGGATTGAATTGGATAGCACTTTTCAAAGAGCCGGCACAGACATGATGGGCCGAATGGCCTCCTTCTGTGCTGTATAATTCTATGATTCTATGAAGAGCTCAGGAAGTAAGAGTGCAGAGAAACCTTGTTATAGCACAGTCCATACGGCCAATGTCTGAGTGACTACTGTATGTGAGGTAAGATAACATGTTTAACAAAAACAGAAGTCACTGGGACACTCAGCAGGTCAGGCAGCATCTATGGAGAAAGGAAAGT